TTCGTCGAAAAAATGTACTACATCATGGTTTTTTCACGTTTTCGGCAAAAAATTTAAAATGGCCCAAATTCGAGTATGTAATGCCGGAGCACTTCCTAGTCTTCGGACACTGTTTCGAAGCCCATTTCGGCCCCAACGGTCTTCTACTGGCAAACTGGAGTGAACATGCGCCGCGTTGGTGGGCAACCCATCGTCCACAAGCTCTGCACCGCGCAAGCACTTACCTTTCCGCCCGGCACTGGGTAGGTAGTCTACCTTTTTGGTTGGGGATATACGCGTGAAACTAAGCTCCGTAGTTTCGCCCTTCTGTCGACACCCGCTCCTCGTCGCCGGACTTTCTTCACATGTTTACTCGCACCACAGTGTGAGCCTGCAAAAGCTTCACCCGACGTACTGTGGATTGCATACCGCTAGGTGGATTGCCCTGTAGGTAGGTTAGGTTAGGATACCTCGGGGTGCTCAGGACCTGAACTCCCCTCGGGGTGCACGGAGCCAGTGGGTCCTCTTCTTTTTCTTTACATCTGCGTTCTTTTTACCCGTGCGGCCTGGTTTGCAGTGGCAGTGCGAGAGAGAGGCAGAGGCAAAACGATTTTCCCTGCCGACTTATGAAGTGGCCTGTACCTGCGGCCTTAACTCCCCTCCACTTTGTCTGTCTTAACCTGCCTAGCCCCGCCTCGCCCCTCCCTGCCCCGCCCCGCGACTCTCCGGACGCGAAAATGAGATGAAGGTGTGGCTGCGGCTACTCTTTGCTTCTCACTGGACTGGCTGCGTGGCTGGCTGCGTGGCTGGCTGCGTGGCTGGCTGCGTGGCTGGCTGCGTGGCTGGCTGCGTGGCTGGCTGCGTGGCTGGCTGCGTGGCTGGCTGCGTGGCTGGCTGCGTGGCTGGCTGCGTGGCTGGCTGCGTGGCTGGCTGCGTGGCTGGCTGCGTGGCTGGCTGCGTGGCTGGCTGCGTGGCTGGCTGCGTGGCTGGCTGCTGGCTGCTGCGTGGCTGGCTGCGTGGCTGGCTGCGTGGCTGGCTGCGTGGCTGGCTGCGTGGCTGGCTGCGTGGCTGACAGTTTTTTTGACTGCGTGGCTGCGTGGCTGGCGGCCTGGCTGTCCGGCAGCACCGGGAAGGAAAAAATGAAAGTCTCCCCTCATTTCTCGCCTAGCCGCAGCCCGGAGGAGGAGTGGGGGAATGACCATATTTTGCCGGCGACTGCGAATAGGCCTAATAAGAGCCATCCCCCCTGCAGGAGACATTCCGAGAGTCGTTTTCGTCGCTTTGTCTCTCTCGCACTCTATGAGTACCCCGTGCAAGGTGCGAGAGAGACGGAGCGACGAAAACGACTCTCGGAGTCAGCCTGCAGGAGACAGGGCGACAGGGAGGGGGTGACCGGCCCTTCCACGCCCGGCCCAGCCCGCCCAGCTGCCGAGTCGAAGCGTGTGAACGGAATACAAAACGACGCCCCGCCGCGCCCCGCCGCGCCCCGCCACGCCCCGCCATGTCCTGCCATGAAATGATGGAATGTTAAGTAATAGTGCGGCGTGGTGAGGCGTGGTCGAGCGTGGCGGAGCGGGGCGTGGTGGAGCGTGGTCGCAGGCCGCACCCATGGGTCGCTCATCAGATTGGTTCTAGCTAAAAGTGCACACACACACACTCACAAATAAATACATGTAACTTGACGTTTTAACATCATTCCAAGTGCAAAAAAAGTGTGCGATTTTTTCTTTTGACACTTTCGGTGTGAAATTCGTGCAAGCCCGGGGTGACTGGTTCATTAAGCGGCCGGCTGGCACACCGCATTCCCCCGTGGTGTGAAACCCCCACCCGCCCCGCGCAGGTAAGCTACACCTGATTGGAAAACGTCCAACCGCAGCAAGTTGGTGCTGCTCCACCGTCTGGGACTCGCATAATATCCGTGATATTAAATCCGGCCGCGGCGTGGCAGCTAATCCGACTCGCAAGACTCCGCGTGACATCGGGACACGGTGCGGCTTTCTCTGACGGCGGCGTGCCCGTACGCCCCTCTCCCCTCCGGGGATGATAAAATTAATACCAAGTCGGCCGCCGCTCCTCAACGCTTTTCCGTGTTGTCTTTGAATTTTCCCCGTGCTTTCCTTGCTGCTGAATGAGGCGCTGCCGCGCCACCTCCATAACGAGGAAAATCGGCAATTTTTTTTTTTTTTTTTTTTTGCCGGTGTGACGCGCTCCTCCGCGTTGTTTGGTCGCAATAATTGCATTTCGCGCTGCACCACTGCGGGGTGCCGTGGCTGTACACAGTGTACGCCCCGGCCGCCAGAACTTTACTAATTACGCACATACTCGTCTTACTTCATTGCACTGCTGCGACTCGCGTCCCCACACACGAGCCTCCCCACCCCATCTCTTTTTCCGCATCCGAGTCCGTGCTGTCCCATTGGCTACCCTGTTGCGAGCGACGGCCCGGTGGAGGCGGTCAAAATCCAGGACGCGCTGTGAGCTCCAGAGTCGCCAAATGGGACTCGAACCGAACGTGTAACCTCACCAATGGATAGCTCTCTGAACGAGGAATCCATTGGTGGGGTCACTTGTTCGGTCCGAGTCCCATTTGGCGACGAAGGCGTCAAGAGTTTTGACCACCGGCGCCGGTCTTCGGGCCCACTGTGCATAGGCGGCATCTGAACCTCTGGGTCCGGCGTTCTTGTGAAAGCCTCCAGCTTGATATTGGAGCCCTCCTCCGTGGTCTCGGACTCGGAAGTCTCCGGCTCGGGGCGGTTTCAGCGATGTCTCGAGAGCCCCCAGCGACGAGGCTGAGGCCCCGAAAGCCCCCAGGCAGCAGATTTTTCCGTCGTGCCGGCTAAGCGCGGCCGGCTGAGTTATCGGCATTCGTCGGGGATGTCGGGATGAGAGGCAGGGCGAGCCGAGCGGCCACAAGTTGGTGGCTGCTTTAATTTCCGTTGCGCGAACATTAAGCTTCCCCACTTTATTTCCCACTTATAAAGGCAATATTAACAAAAGTGGGCGCCGTTCTCGCCCTGTCCTTGCCTCGGAGTCGAGCTCGGAGTAGTGCCCCCGAAAAAGGCGCGGCCTTTTAATTCAAATAAATACACCGCCTTTCCCTTTTTAATGGCTCGGCGGGACTCATCTGTTACACCCCGGCGGGAAATTCCGGCCGGATTCCATCTCGGCGGGGAAGTTCGACAGAGACATAGCGCCGCGCAGCGCTGCAGCTCACGCGGACAACAACGCCCTCTTCTTCTCGGGGCGGCCGGCAGACCGAAGCATCGCTCTGTCTCTCTCGCGCCGACGCGGGGAGCGCCGTGAGTGCGAGAGAGGCACAACGACTCTCAGTCTGCAGGGCGGCCAGGGCGGCCGGGCGGGGCTTTGCGGGATGGGGATGGAATAGCGCCGTGGACGCGATGGGGACGGTGCGCTGCGAAGGGCTGCGCCGCCAGACATTGGTAATCCCATCTTGATGATGATTGGTGTAGCTCGCCCGGCGATCCCCCTTGGCCCGGCCCGCCCGGCCCCCATCGCCTGACAGCAGATCCCCATGGGCGTTCGACGCGGTGCCGAAGACGGACCGGCCTTCCAATCCGCGGAGTAGATTTAACTGTCACTGGGGCGCTAGTCGGCCGAGAAGAGAGAAGATGTTCCCGAAATCACTTTGGAGTCTGGAATCACTTTGTAAGGATTATGGTCGTGCCCTGCTTGCGGCAGCGCCGAAGTTCTGTTTTATCAGTGTTGGGATTTTTTTAAAAAATAATGTTGTTTTTTTTTGTGGGAGGTTTTTACTGGTTTTAGCTGGAATTTTTTTGGGGGGAGTTTGGGCTAGGCGGGAGTTGCAGATTTATTGGTGTGGGTTAGGTACAAAGAAGAATCTTTTGTTCTTTAGTTAAGTAAGGTTTGTTTATTGAGATAAGTAACATTTAATTAATTTGGAACAATATTTAAAATATGTATGTAAAACAAATTTGTATTAAGCAGCCTAATAAAATTTCTACAAGAACGTATAACAGGTGTAATATGTGTCAACGGGCACTTTTAATTATCCAGGCAGATTACAATAGAATAGTGTAGTTGCGAAGACTTCACCTTGAGTAAAGTACATCGAAAAGTACGCAATTGACAGTTATGTCCTCAAATCCAAGTTTGTGGACACAGGTCACGAACAGGTCGTCGATTTCTATTGCGTTCTTACTAACAAATGCAACGCTTTACAATTGGTCCGTTTCACTGTGTCAACAGAGAATCACGTACCAGAAACACAGGCGGGCTGAGTGAATCGATAAAGTGCAAACAAGAAAGAAAATTGTGCGTGTTCCAATAATATTTACTTTGCAAATAAGAGTTAAGTGTGTAAGAATTTAGTTGGACCGTGTTCAGTTATTCATGCCTCAAAACACACTCAAATTAAAAGAAAGACTGTGACTGTGGAATGGAGTCGAATGTGACTCAATATGACTCAAAGCTTATACTGATATATATACAATGCACATTCACAAGCTGCTTATTTACATCTACTGTTTTCCGATCATTACATCAGCAAGTACTTGATCGTTTCACATAATATCACCAACCCTCTGGTAAGGCAAACGTTCCCAAAATCAGTTCTCTTTGACTACTCTCTTTAACCACCGCTGCCCTCATAGAATCAGTTGCCTACGTACGCTCCTGGCTATTCTACGGAAGAAAATATATGAAAGATTCTTGACTAGATTCCCACCTTACTTTCAAATAGCTCCCCGAAGAGGTATTCCAACAGCCGGTTCATCGACTCAGGCATAGCTAACAGCCGTACTAAATCTATTATAGTTTGAATAGTGGCACAGTTTTGAAGAGGTGGCTAGAATGACGTCTAAAGTCACATTGATTACATAAATCTGGTTTAAGGAGGTTGCAGCAGATTTATTTGTCTACGTAGATCCCGCATACTCTTAAGTAAAAGGCATGTCAGAAGTGCGGGAAGGGGGTCATAGACTCTTTTCTAGTTTGCTATTAGTGTACATGGTGTGGCAACAAACAATGCGATGTAGCACAACTCCACTTCAATAACAACAATTTATTATTTTAAGAAAAGAAAACAAGTGGCAACTTATCGTTGTATGACGCGAAATACTACTTCACCGTATACAACTAACACATTCCCAGGGACACAATGAAAACTGTTTGATGCCCACTAAATGGGGTGATGGAGAAATCTATTGAATGGTCCCCTACGTACATAATGAATATTTATAGGGATAAAGTAAACTGAGACATCTATAATTATAGCTTAAAAATAGGGAATCACTTTTTTTCTGAAAAAAGAAAATACAACAAAGTAAAGCAAACATTTACTTATGAATGTAGGTAAACTCTATGAAGTCGATGAGATATGACAACTGGTTCACAAACCAGCATATGTACAATTTGATTGCACTTTTAAAAAGTAGAGGCCTATATCATATTTAAGTTTGTATACGACACTACAAGACAATACTCTGGCCTTTCATCCAGCCAACACCCATAATGATGATTAAAGCTAATAAACAGTACTCAACCTCAAATATCCTCTTTCTCTATAATAAGTTAGACATCATTTCGGGTGCAAAAATACATTTTCACTTATAAATATACCTTCCAATTTACATCCGCCAAGTGCACCTTGGCGAGGAGGCCACTCTGCTACAATAATGTAATAATTATCTCTTGTCGGTAGACCAACCTCCGTTCCATCCACGAAGTGCGTCATTTTTATTTACATTTTTTTCTCCAGCAGAAATCTGCTGGATATTTTTTCTGTTGCTATAACATGCCGACTTACAACAAACGCGGTCCACAACGCACTCCAGGGTGGAACGCGAAACAACAGAAAACAAACTCGATAAAAAAATCACAAAGACCGCGCCTGGGGTACCAACCGTTCAGTTCGGCTGTGTTGGCATCACTGCACGGTGCTGCGACGGGGCGCGCGGTCCGGGCTACAGTCCACCGCGGAACGAGCGAGCTTCGTGGAGAATCCCGACTCTTCCTGCTTCCTCGGCTGCTTCTGGCCAAGGCCACGAACTGCGGGACCAACCAAGGATTCGAATCAAGTTTAACGTTTAGTGCAAGGTCTCAATACACGTGTTTTACTGATGATTTTCTTCAAAATTGGAAAAGAAAAGTTTACATTGTTCTGAAGACTGAACTTAGTTTTAGTTTAAGCTTAATTTGTTATGTTTTCGTATAATAACTACGAGAAGGTCGTTTGCATTTTAGTGACTACTTACTAAAAACTAAAAAAAAACACGTTTACACAAACTATTTAAAGAATTAAAGTAAAAACTCTTTTCAAAACTTTTTTATAGACTTTTTTTTTTCAAAAACTTTTTTGATTTTATTATTGAAAAAAAAAATTGGTGTTAAAACTTTTGTTGTTACCTGTAGGGATCCTGCGCGGCCTGCGGGGCCTGCTGTCAATGGGCGCCGATCATGTCCTTGGCCTGGGCGGCGCGGGCGCGGGCGAGGATGGACAGCACGGTGCGCTTGGTGGGCGACATGGCGACGTAGGGGCGTTTCCGGCCCCCGGCCGCCGTCCTGGCGCACAACAAGCGCGCCGCCACGTCGGGGCCTGTTGGGGCGAACGCAGCGCGAACGCAGAAAAAGTGGGTCATTTTTCATGCAATTGGGTCAGCCTTTGTCCTCGAGGTGAGTCGAGTTACGACGCTGCAGACAGAGAGTCGTTTGCGTCGCTCTGTCTCTCTCGCACCTTCAGGGGATGCCCCATGAGTGCGAGGGGGACGGAGTCTGGTGTGGACTCGATCAGGAACTCACCAATGGGGCTGTGGAGGCCCCGCGAGGGGCCTGGCGCCAGAGGCCCCGTGGTGAGGGGCCCGCCCGGCGCCACGCTGGGCTCCAGGCACTCCGGCAGCGGGCCCAGGCCGGCCGCTGCAGCCACCGCGGCCGCGGCCACCGCGTCGTCCTGGGAGGGCGGCCCCGAGCAAGGCCCCGAGCCGCCGGGCCCCGAGGCCAGGTGCTTCAGGTGGTCCCGAGAGCTCTTGAGCACGTGCAGTTCCCACATCTGCTCCTGTCGGATGTCGTCGTTGAAGTCCTGCAACATCAGCGGCCGCGTCAGGACACTGCCTCGGCAGCCAGTCGGGGCCACGCGCAGTGCTCCGGAAGACCAAGATTCCAAATGCATTTTGAGCTCCGGAGTCGCGAAACAGGACTCGAATCAAACGGGTGGCCCCACCAATGGATTCCTTGTTCGGAGAGCAATCCATTGATGGGGCCACACGTTCAGTTAAAGTCTTTGACTCTAAGAGCTCAAAACGCGTCTTGGCCGCCTCCACCGGCCTTCTGGCCCACTGACACACAGAAAACAAGGGAGAGACTGACCGGCACGAGGAACCGCCGCACCTCGGCGAGGGCGAGCGCGATGCGTGCGTGGGCCTCGGCGGGCGGGGCCAGCGCCGTCACCTCCACGTGGAGCTCCAGCTGCAGGTGGCAGAACTTGGGGTCGCCGGACAGGCGAAGCTCCTCCTCCTGTCAGACACACGGCCACACGGCTCAGAACAGCCAAAGAGCGGAGCAGCGGACAAGGATTTGGACCGACACACAGTGGGCCAGAAGGCCGGCGCAGGCGGCCAAAACTCTCGACGCATTTTGAGCTCCAGAGTCGGTTCGCAAAACAGGACTCGAACTAAACGTGTCACACCACCAATGGACTCCTCGTTCGGAGAGGTTGGTGGGGTCACAGGCTCCGTTCCAATCTCATTTAGCGACTCAGGAATTCAAAACGCGTCCGGGGTTTCGACCGCCTCCGCCGGTCTTCTGACCCACTGTGCGAACACACAATCAAAATTTCTCGTCAATGTGTACCAAAACAAGCGCATGAGATTCTCATCAATGGAAAATGACACTTCCATTACGAATTTTGATGACATTAGCATCGCTCGAAAGAAATGACAAATTCACGACAGACTGGAAACATTTTCGCCACTTTAAAAATGATGACGGTTTTATGAAAACATGATAAGCTAGCAGAAGCTGAAAATGAATTAAATCTTCCACCTTGTGTGTGGCACACAAACCCCTCGCGGCCTTGACCCAATTGGCGGGCCGGCCTGCATGCCTCGTCCGGGAACGCGGCACTTTCAGGTAACGGCGCATTTAGATGAGGACGGATTATGCCAGTGGCGTGGCAGGGCGTGGCACGCCGCGCCACGCCACTGGCGGTCCGCCAACCGGACGGCAATATCTCAACGATATAAAGAGCAGGGCGGTGAGCCGTGTCCGTGCGTGTAATCCAAACAGCGTGAGGGACGGCCCACTTGTCTGGCCACGGAAATTGGTCGGGTTTCGAACCCCGGAAAGTGCGTTTTAAAGAAATTTCCAGAGGTCTCGTATTTTTCCAAAAAGATAAAATTTGATGCTATACGTGCTTGAAAACTCTGGCTGGAGTCAATACATTATTTGAGATTTTCTAGTACACCCTCAAAAACCGTCTTCTTGGATTAAAAAAAAACCTTTTCTTGTTTTTTTTTCTTTAATAATAAAAATCGTCTTTTACCGAACCTTTATTGTCTATGAAGAAAAATTTTCACACGTCAAGACTTTTTCCTTCCAAAAAAAAAGGAAATTCAAAATGAAGAAACCATTTTTCTGAATGTATTTGCCAAAAACGCAAAAGAACTAAAATTTATCTATGACCAAAGGCTTCTTTTTTTACGAACACGTTCTTCGGGACTTGGAAAGATTTTCCTTCAAAACTGCACTCACCTTTTGCCTATCCCGCATGGAGCCGCGGCCCAGGATGGCCATCTTCGTCATCGTCTCCTCCTGCAGCCGCTTGAGCGAGTTCCCCTGTGGACCCAGCAGCTTGCCGACGAAGTTGAACTGCAACAGAGGAAGAAGACCGTGGTTTGGTTTCGCGTCTCACACACACGCACACACTCAGAGCACTGTTTTTCTTAGCAATTCACCGCGAGCGACACGCATATGCTTTGGATATCGCGTAGGTGTGCGACAAGGCATGTGTGTGTGTGTGTGTGTGTGTGTGTGTGTGTGAACGTCAGTGTGCATGTGTGCGTGCGTGTGTGTGCCCACCCTTGACAGCAAAGGAGCCCTCCGTCTACTGGAGAAGCCGCTCAGACACTCTTGCTATCTCGTTCAGATGGGTAAGCATGGGCACAGGGAGTTAACACCACACACGCACGCACGCACACACACGCACGCGCGCTCACAAAGACCTCTCTCTCTATCCACAGGGCGACGAGGGGGAGTCTCTCTTTCTCAAACACACGTCGCAGAACTGCCGTCTAGAGCGCCAATTCCTGTGTCATCTCAATGTGCTTGTAATGGCCCTGCCCTATTCAGCCCATCACAAATATTGTGCTTTCATTTGCATGCAAGAAGAAGGAGGACTGAAAAGACTGGGAAGAAGAGAGAGAGAGAAGACTCTCTTGCCGTTCCGGTGCAGGCGGGGCGTGTGGGCGGCCGGGGCGTGTCACAGCCGGGAAGGAGAAAACGCACGGCGAGGTAATTCACAATTAAAACCACGACACTGGCGGGCGGGCCGAGGCGAGCCTCATATATATTTCGTCCGGATCGTCGCCCTCGGTGACGCTGCTGCAGCGCACAGAGGATTTGCCGGAAGACCGGTGGAGGCGGCCAAAACTCTAGACGCGTTTTGAGCTCCAGAGTCGCTAAATGAGGACCAAACCGCACGTGTGACACCACCAATGGACTCCTCGTTCGAAGAGTAATTCATTGGTGGGGTCACACGTTCGGTTCAAGTCCCATGTAGCGACTCTGGAGCTGAAAACGCGTCTAGAGTTTCGGCCGCCTGCACCGGTCTTCTGGCCCACTGCGCAGCGCCTGCGGTCGGAATCGGCTCAGCCGCTCCCGTTACTCGCACCTTGTTCGCTCCAGTCTTATTTAAAAAGAAAGATTTATTCCGTCTGGCCGCAGCGATAAATAAGACGCCCGGAGATTGTTTCATTCCGGCGGAAAGTTAATTCGCTTTTATCTTTGTTTCTCGCCACATGAGATGAACGACGTGAGGGAGTCTGCGTGGAGTGCACTGTGGAAGGAATGTCGGTACAGTTTTTTCAGGTCACTATCCCTAGTCGCTTCTGCAGGCTGCCTTCACACCCGGGTACAAACAATACCCTTGCCAGAGGCTAGTGTTCCCTCATGAAGCAACGGGGGAAAAACCTTATTGGCTGGAGACTCCTGTTAACGAAGGTCAGCCCTTTGAACTACCGCACTCCTTTGCAGAGTCTCTGGACACTGGATCGGCTGCTCCACTTTAAAAAGATCAAACAGGGATGCCAACCCGATGGGCTGAGAGGGGGCACAGTGGGCCAGAAGACCGCTGGAGAGGTCAAATCTCGGACGCGTTCGGACCGAACGTGTGACCCCGCCAATGGATTCTTGCTTAATCCATTGGTGGGGCCACACGTTCGTTTCGAGTCCCGTTTAGTGACTCTGGAGCTCAAAACGCGTCGGGAGTTTTGGCCGCCCCCACCACCGGTCTTCTGGCCTACTGCGGGAGGCCTCTCTGAGCGCAACTATCTCGGCAGTGTACTGCCTCGCCCCGGAGTCTCTGTGGCAGGATCGCGAGACAGCGCCAGCCATTTGAATAGAATTGTATTCGCGGGAGTTTCGCCTCCGGGATTCAAATTGCAAATATGAGGCTCCGTTGTTAAGCCGCGGGCGTGGCGCCCTGGCGCACCAACTAAACGCGCCAGTCTTACTTTCCTGGTGTGGCGGTGGGGGAGCGGTGCAGGTAAAGATGAGTCTGGCGGTGGGAGTGGGTGCACTGTCGAAAATTTTGAATGCCACTTTTCTGCACACTTCGGGGTCGTCAACTTAGTACGCAACGTTTGCCCACAGTTCTGTCCTTGTTGCTCTTCATGGACTGCCAGTGAGTGCGAGAGAGACACAGAAACAGTTTGTACCGTTGGCATTGTCATCCTAGAAAAAGGTGATTCAAGGTCCCGTCGTTTTACAGTGAGTCCAGATCCAGTCCGGAAACGCCCGCGAAGTCAGGGATAGGCAATCCGGGGTGCACGGCTGTCGCGTGGCAGCCTACCTCGCAGGCGGCGAGTCACAGTGGGCGAAAAAAAATCTGGTCGACGAGGCCAAAACTCTAGACGCGTTTTGAGGTCCACAGTAGCTAAATGGGGCTCAAACCGATCGTGTGACCCCACCAATGGATTGCTCTCCGAACGAGGAATCCATTGGTGGGGTCTCTCGTTTGATTCGAGTCCTGTTTAGCGACTCTGGAGCTCAAAACGCGTCTAAAATTTCGGCCGCCTCCACCGGCCTTCTGGCCCACTGAGGGGCGGCCGCGCGACGCGCTTCAAATCAAGCCATCGCGGAATGAGTGCCCCATCTAATGGCCGTGCCGGGCGTTGCCGGGGTTCGTCGCTACGCTGCAAATTGAACGACTCCGCATCATCGCCGGGGCCAATTTCGGCGGCGACGGCCGGGGCTGGTCCGGGGCCGGTCCGGGTGGCGGGCAAACGCGTAGAGGATGAAACAAGCGCTCTGACGGTGACTGAAGGGCCTGAAGGGCCTGAAGGGCCTAAAGGGCCTGCAGGGCCTCGCCCGCCGGCCTTGCCCACTTTGCATTCAAATGTCGCGCCTTTTCACGAAATGGCGCGGCGCGCCTATTGAGAGTGGCGCCAAACTACCGCACTGCAAATGAAAAAGCGGCCGCCCAGTATTCGATCCCGCACCCGGCCGCTAACACAGTCCGCATTACAAATTCACACCCTCATCACCGCCGGGGCGGGGCGGGGCGGGGTGGGGCGGGGCGGGGTGGGGCGGGGCGGCGCGGGGCGGAGCCCCAACGACCAGCGGCTGCCGGCAGGCAGGCAGGCAGGCGCGCACCAGCCAGAACCAGTGTCTCCGACATAATGGATTATGAACATACACGCCTCGACCAAATTACTGGCAAAGTTCATTTACAGAAGCACGCCTTCGGGAGTACAGGAAAATAGCGTGAATGTGGAATGGGGGTCGGTCCGAGGTTTGGGGGAGGGGGGGGGGGTGCGGAGGCTGCGGCCCGGGGGTGGGGTACCCAGGGCAGGTCAAGGCGAGAGGGTAGTCCCAAGGTAAAAAGTTGGACGGCGAGGGAAATAACCGGTTCGGGTGGCGAGTTTGGTCGGAGCGCCCGGCCCACAGTGGGCCAGAAGACCGGCGGAGGCGGCCAAAACTCTAGAGGTGTTTTGAACTCCAGAGTCACGAAATAGGAATAGAATTGAAAGTGTGACCGCACCAATGGATTCCTCGTTCGGAGAGCAATCCATTGGTAGGGTCACACGTTGGATTCGAGTCCTATTTGGCCGACACTGGAGCTCAAAATGCGTCCGGGGTTTTGGCCGCCTCCGCCGGTCTTCCGGCGCACTGTGCGGGCGGCAGGGTTGCCGACCGGCGTTTCGGAGATCACCTGCTTCGGTGCGCGTAGCGCCGCGTAGCGCCGCGTAGCGCGTAGACACGTTTGGATCAATTATTTCTGCAAATCGGGCACTGGGGCCGCGCTGGGTGGCGCTGGCTGGCGCTGGGGAGCCCGCAGCCACGTAGCTACGCGTAGCGAGCGTGCGTGTTTTGGGCTCGCCGAACGGCTTAGCCGAGTGGAGCACAGCCAGCCCTGTTTCTCCAGCAAACACGATACAAACAAACACACACAGCGGACCAGGAACAAAGCCTAACGCTCAGCACCTACCGCCTCGCAGCCTGCCCGTAGCGAAATTACAGCACGCCAAATAACAAGCACGCCCCCCCCTTTTTTTCCGCCCCGGAGTACTACACCGTGAACCCCGAGCGCCACCACCACACGCGCAGTTGCAGAAAAACTTCTCGCGATGTGAAAGTTTTAAAGCGTTGTAGTGTTTTCATTTTGGGAGGAAGCGCCACGTGCGGCGGCACGCACACAGACACGCACACAGACACGCGCGTGCCGTCTCACTAATTACACTGAACCACCTGGGATGCCCTCGCCAATACACACACACACACACCGGCCTGTCGTTTCCACGGCACCACAACACGGCCACCCACACCCCTTGTGCGGCCTAGGCGGCCCTGGCCCTCCTCAAACGACTTTATCACCTGCACAGTCCGGCCTGGAAGGGCCCCTGTTTGTTCTTGTTCTTGATGTTGTTTGAAGTACAGGGGGATCTTTTTCGCATCCGTGATGAGTAGCAACAGGCGGACACGGCCCAGAGCCTCTTTCTGTCGCTCCTGCCTCCCTCCCTCTCTCTGTCTCTTTCTCTCCCCCCTCTCTCTCTCTGTCTCTCTGTCTCTCTCTGTCTCTCTCTCTCTCTCTCTCTCTCTCTCTTCCTGACACAAACAAGTACGGGCCTTCCTTCATATTCCTGAGGGACGCTTCGAATCTGTGAGAAAGCTGTACTTACTTTTGACATAAGCCGGCATAGCACGCATCCATTGTGCGTCTGTCGGTCGGTCTGTCTGTCTGTCTGTCTGCTTGCCTGTCTGTTTGGCCCGTCTGTCTGCTTTCCAACCTAATTCCTCGCTAACGGCACTTTGCTGCGTCATTTCGCGGTGATATTCTTATGCGCATACATAACACGGCTACGCCCCCATCATCACGCCCCTCTCTTCCTCCTCCTCCTCCTCACCCACAACTCTTCATCTCTCTTCTTCTTCATCTCTTCTTCTTCTTCTTCTTCTTCTTCTTCTTCGCCAGGCTGTGGCGCGACTGAAGTATACGGGGCTCGTTTGATCCACGTGACGGGTTCGATTTGTCCTACCACCTGGAACCATGTGACGCGCATCATGTGTGTGCGGGGGCGAGCGTTTCTGGCTGTACTAGTCCGCGCTTGTGTGTGTGTGTTGTGTGTGTGTGTGTGTGTGTGTGTGTGTGT